TTCATGCGTCATTCTCAGAGAGTCAAACATATTTTTGGCTGTCTCTCTGTTTGAGATCTTCTCATACTCTGAGTATGAGATGGCACTGAGAAGAATTGTTTTGGCCTTATGATGGTTTATGAAGTCACGCTTTTGTTGGTCAGACATTCTTTTTTTATCTATCTTCTGACCGCTTTCATCCACGGGATGCATGTATCCATCAATTATCATATCCCATAAGCCAGCATCATGGGCCAGAAAGAAGCTCTCAATTCTATCTTTCCAGTAGTCAAAATTTTCTCCATCAAAGACTGGAGGTTTGTCGCTGATTCTGTCCTTATCATCATGATAATCATTGTTGATGTTTTGGCTTGGTCCCACCATAGTGTTTTTCTAAAGCTTGGATCTTGTACTGACGCGGTTAAGTGTATGAACTTAGAACCAGGCGCTCTGATGCCAATTGAAGAAGTGAAAAACACAAGAAGGGGGGTTGAATTGAAACTTAAAAATCAAAAGCAATAGACGCGGTGATTTTTATCATGGTTTTCTTGATCTCAAACTACTCCAGTCCACCCGCCAAGGTGATTTCTCCTCTCTCCAACGAGGACTTAATTCACTAATCGAACTGATTACAATTCTACTTTGACAACTGCCAAAGTCTTCTTGAGTACAAACACAATCCAGTTTATATCAAGGAAATTCACTTAATCAAAAGAAAAGATTCACTGTGTACTATATGTTTTTCGTTACAAAAATTGTATCACTAGTGTGATGTATTACACAAATTTGGAGTATAGTATGAATATAAGTTTTGCAGCTTTTTTTAGATTGTATGGAGCAATCATGTGAAATCATAAATGATTTACCCTTTGAACTTGTTTATATAGGCGTGGAAGTCTGTCCAAAAGGAAACGTGATAATGGACACTTAATACTCTTTCCATACTGAGAAGATCCTTGTCTGATTGTAGTCGTTGCAAGTGAAACTACCTTAATGGAAATGTAACGATTCAGAACTTAGGAATCTTGCATGCTTCTTTACTTCATAACTTGGGAAGTCAGGAGCATAAGGTTCTGTTAGTGTGTTGGACTTCCATTCAGAATCAGGATATCTTTCTCTTTAGTGCAGATTCTGATCATCATGCTTTAGAATATTCTGATTACTCAGCTTGAGTGCTTCTGTGGCTTAACTTCTGATGTCGTTTCAGTCAGAACTTCTGTACAACATAGAACACAAATTTAGAGTGCATATTTGTTCTTTGTGTTTGTTATCATCAAAACTCTTATGAGGGTTGTAGAATCAAACTATGTTCTAACAAACATCACTGATTTTTTTGGTTGCTAAGAGAGGTTTCAGACAAGGTGATCCCTTGTCTCCCCTCCTATTTATGATTATTATGGAGTATCTTCACAGGGTCATGGATAGTGTAAGGAAGAACCCTCAGTTTATGTTCCACTCCAAATGTAGGAGGAACTTGCATATTGTGGAAATCAACTTTGCTGATGACCTCTTACTATTCTCCAGATAAGATGTTATGTTTATGGAGACCATGTTAAAAGATTTTGATAAATTTTCTTAGTAAACTGGTCTTTCTGTCAATCCCACTAAGTGTAGTGCTTACTATGGAAGTGTGGATGACACTGTCAAGCAAGAAATATACCATATCACTTATTTTGCTGAAGGCCTTTTGCCATTTAGGTATTTGGGTATCCCTCTTACGAGTAAAAAGATCTCTAATCATCATTGCTTGATTTTGGTGGAAAATTGTGAATAGAGTTAAGCACTAGAGTACTAGGTTGTTGAGTTTACTGGAAAAGCACAATTGATTAAAAGTATCCTTTTTGCTATCACTAACTTTTGGAAGCAATGAATTCCCATCCATAAGCTGGTTGTAAAGAAAGTGGATGCCATTCTTAGATATTTTCTCTAGACAGGTAAATACATTATAACTAGGAAGTCTCCCATAGGTTGGGAGAGAATATGCACTCCTAAGATTCAGGGGGCCTAAACATCATAATTTGAAAATTTGGAATCAAGTTAGCTTGTGCATGTTGTCTTGGACCTTGTATGGAAAAGAATATAGTTTGTGGATTAGATGGGTTCATAGCTATTATGTAAAACACTCCACCATCATGAATGTGGATGTGAAGCAAGGTTGCTTCTTGATTTTGAAAGCAGTTTTGAATAACAGGCATGTCATCAGGCAATCTCCATCTTGAGGCAAGTTGAATCAGATGAATAAATTCAAAGCTAGAGACTTATATGAAGAATTTTGTAATAGCTGTCAAAAGGTTGATTGGAGAAAACTTTTAATAAGGAATTATGCTAGGCCTCGGGAAGTGCATTTCACTTGGATGGCTTGTCACAATAGTTTTCCTACAAAAGAGAGATTGGTTAGATTTGGTATGTTAAACAACATGGAGTGTTATTTTTGTGGCAAACCCAAATCCCTCCAGCATCTGCTCTTTGAGTGTGACATTCCTAGTAAAATATGGCTCGTTGTGTTAAATTGGTTGCAGATAGTTCACAGGCCTCTAGGGTAGAATGAGGAGCTTAGTTGGATTCTCAATCAATGCAAGAGGAAATACTGGAGAATTATCTTGTTAAAATGTGATTTTTCCGAAACTATCTATGATGTTGGGAATTTTAGAAATTTTGTCTTCTTTGATTCTAATACTAGGAGTAAGAGTGACAACATTGGTGCCAACATAGTGGATTGTATAGTGTATAGGTGTCGGAATCACCTTAAGCTTAAGCAAAATGTAGGAAAGCTCTTGATGTCGTAGTTTTGTAGCGTGTCGTTTATCTGTTTAGTTCTTTTGTTTTGCTAGATCGCTTTCGATCGCTTGAGTTGTTCTGTTTTTTGAATCTATCAATAAATTTTTCTTTTGATTTAAAAAAATATTTTTTGTTATATCCAAAAATTAGAATTATATTTTAAGAAAAATGGTTAGTATAACCATATGTTATTAAAATCGTAAATAAAATTAAAATATGATATACATGTTTGATATAAAAAAAACAATAAAATAAAATAATATACTTCTAAAAAACATTTATGTTGATAATTTATGTATCAAAAAACAATTAAAATAACTATATATTAATTAAAAACGTTAGTGTATATCCCTGGCACACCAATCGTTACTGATTGAAAATGATTGTGAAAATGATCAAAAACGACTTTTCTCACACCATTAACGCCCTCACCTAAATATCATTTACTGAGATTGAGATGATAGCATTTGACCTTCTCCTCGAAGACATAATACCGTGAAAGGATTTTGAATTTGCATATCCCTCCTTAAGCTAATTTAATCTAGATTTTTTCCATTGGATACTTGAGTGAAATTTGGATAAAGAAAGTATTTTTCGACCGATAGAGAATGCATCTCTCACAACTCTTCCTCCGTTAAATCTTGCTCATCTCATTTAACATCCAAGAAATACATACAATCTTTTACCGCTATGAGTTTTCCTTATATATTTTGAGTATGATTTTGATGCCATAATTTTAACCTGCACTTAATCAACATAAGTTTCTCTTTCAGCAGAAAACCTCCTCATTCGTCCACCTTAAATGAAAGCCATTGCTCCTTCACAAACTTCGTGTAGCCTAGTAAATCTTCCTAACATTTTAACATTTTCGCTATCCTAGGACTCTAGTTCTCTTCATCGATAGACATCAGAATTAGACTATGATCAGAAATAGTGCGAGGAAGAGCCACTTAAATGCAAATCGGCCATAAAGAACCCAAGTATCTGATAATAAAAAATGATCCATACGACTCATAGAAATACCACTCCCCCGATACCACAAGAAACTTCTCCCGCACAACAGTAAATCAACAAGACAATTGTCTTTAATGAATATATTAAAATGAGTAAAATCCTTCACTCGGTCAATAAATACCATTCTCCTTCTTTCCTCAATTGATCGAATATCATTAAAATTGTCATTCACACACCAGGTGTTCCCCTCATCATCGTTAATCAATACCCATATGATAACTGAGCTCTGTTATCACATGGAGCATAAACATTCACAATAGAAAACGCATTCCCTGACTTTAGAAAGCACCCTTTGATAATCAAAAAATATTTTGAAACTCGTTGAAATTTTCACCTCCACCTCATTAGTATCCCATGACATCAATAAAACTCCAGAGGTCCATGCATAAGGCCAAAAAGAATAGCCCACCTCAGGGGATCCCCATAGATACCTACACACAGAGTCACCAATCACTTCCAATTTCATTTCGTGAATGCATACCACCAACAGACACCGCTCTCTAACCATCCTCAGAACCTCTCTGCTCTTCTCACAACCTCCTAACCCTCTCACATTAAAAGGAATAAGGTTCATTATAACCATCATGACAACCACTAAAACACACAAACTTAAATGTCTAATCAAACTCCAAACACTCCCTCCTCCTCCCCTTCTCTCCCTCGCCGTCTCCCTACTTTTTAACCCCATCACCTATCCCCTTTGAAAACACAGTGAACATATTAGAACAATCACCCTTGATCTTTAACTCGATATATTTTTCTACCTTACAAACATCATTAACAACCTCCTGAGGTTTACCATGTAACACCATCCAATCTTTCCAATTCTCATTAGAACTTGAAGTCTTCGAACTCACCGACAAAGAAACCCTCTTATTTTCCTTAGAAAATGACCTTAATGAACTACTAGAAGTTTTTTTCTTATTTTTTCTTCTATTAAGAGAGAGAATTAATTTATACCTATCTTTAGTTGATAACCTTGCCACTCCTTTTCAGATCAAGTACAAATGGTACAAATTTTCCTATTACGTGGATTATGTAAGCATCTTTCCTTCCCCTGATTACTGTGAATGTTTCCAATTTTCTTACAATCAAAATGTACTTCCTGCTTTAATTCTTTTCTTTTTGATAAATTCATGACTCCAAGGTCTATGTCATTCATTAGTAGCTTTTAAATTCAGATCTTCCTTAGACCGATCATCCTCACCCCCTCGTGTTTCATTTACACTTTATGAACATTCAGTGTCAAGATGATTAATAATGTTATCAACCAAGGGCATGTCTTCAAACTCGCAAATCGGTTCAGTACCCTGAGACTCATTTTCCTCCTCATACTCACCTAGACAAGTGTTATATGCTAGTCCAAAATCTAGGTCCTTCACAAATCATATTGGATATTTCTTCCCGTCAACCCAAAAATCCTATACCTTATTTATTTCCCACACCAGTTTTATAGTGATCAAAATACGAGCATAGTCCAACCTCAATTTATTAAAGTGAATTCGTCGATTTTCAACAATCTTTCTTTAACCAAAGCAAGTTCCCCATAAAAACCTCACATTCCATGCATGTAACGGTGTACCATAACAATGTACCCATGCCCATCTTTCATAAATCATGTCACTATCCTTCGACCAAGCACAAAAATCATACACTAAAGTACTGAATAAATATGTAGCTTCATTAAAAATAGACATCACCTCTATCTTGCTCGTAAAATACAAGAAAATTTTGTCTCCTCCCAATGATGCCACCATAAAACCGTGAAACCTAACATTTGAAATAGTTTGGTGAATAACCATATCTGTAACACCATCCTTAGTCCTAGCCACCAGACCATTACAAGATCATTCAATGTCTTCAGGAACAACCCGATAACTTCTACCACCAGTGCCACCTCTTCTTTCCCCTCTTCGTCCCCCTTTAACTTCTTACAATCCCCTTCACTAGCTCTGCATACAAAACCACCCTACCATTCCCCTTTGAAATAAAAATGTATTCCTCCTCCATCTCTTTTTTCCCCTTGCTTACCACACCCTCATCAGTCACCACTATGAGAATTTTCTTTTCTTTTCTTATCCTAACAACCTCCTCCTTCACCCTCTCTAACTTCTTCTTCCTCCTAATCCCAAACTCGGTCTCCCTCCTCCCATTCTCCCTCATAAATTTTCTTTCATCATATCTTGGCATTTTTTCTCCCTCCCCCACCTCCTAAGATTTTTATATCAACCCTCTCAAACCTATCATAACGAGCCACATTCGCATACAATCTATAATCTCCAAAATAAACATTATTTAAAGCTTTTCTCGATTTTTCCACATCCCTCACATTAGCAAATCGGGTGAACCAAAACAATTAGCCTTTTGCATTTCTATTTTGAGAAACAAAACATCGGTCAAAACTCTACATACCTCTAGTTCCCTTCTCAAACTGACATAGTGAAGATGATCCAGAATATTAGAAAAATAGAAAAAGGTCGTTGTTGCTTGAGGTGGTTCCACGTCTGTCTCATACCTACTGAATTGAATTTCGTAATTGCACATGTGCGTCACAGACTCTACATGACTCAAATCCCCACGCATGTGTGATCTTCCCCTAGAAGCACCAGTCCTAGAATGATCAAACTTGTACCTACGATGAATGTCTCCATCGCGGTTGTCGTATCCATCATAACTTACGTTGAATCCGCGATTAATTTTCCAAAGTATGTCATACCTGCGATTCTGACCATAGCTTTTATATCTCCCCCCCCCCCCCCCCCCCCCCCCCCGATTCCTCCCTAATGTACAGCTCCCATAAGCCAGTCATATCCTTGTGTTTCTGATCAAATTTATTCTTTGAAAGTGAATAGATAGAAAATCGAGAATTCGAATCATTGTTAATGCTTTTGAATGTTGATGAAACTATCAAGTGAGAAGACTTATAAAACTTCTTTAAATAGATTATAATCATTAGGGGTGTAATCGATTCAGTTTGGACCGATTTTAGATCAAAAAAGTGTATGAACTGATGATATCTCCATCGGTTTGGTTTGGTTTGGTTTGATTTTAGGTATTTTTTTAAAATAGAGTTGAACTAAATTAATTGGTTTGGTTTGATTTGGTTTGGTTCAGTTGATCGGTTTACAATATTTATCTTTCAAACATTATATCCATCTACGTATTCTCCAGTATCATGTTTTTGGTGTATTTTATGCCATTGTTTTTTTAAATAATATATTTCATATAATTTTTTTCATACTCTATTTTTTCAAACAACTTACAAGTTTTTCTTAATAAGTTCACTATCAAATATATAAAAGTAGATACTTGTAATCAGAAAGTTGGAAAGAGATTTGAAAGCTTAACAAATAACACAACAATAACAATAAAAAGTTTCAATTAAACATAAATTATCATATTTCACACCTCAAACACACATAAAAACTATTTTGTAACAAGATTAGAAGGAACTTTGTTGGAGAAGAAAAAAATAAAAATGGTAATAAAAAAGATGACAACTAACAAAGAGAACTTGCATCTATAACATATTAGAACGACGGTAGAGAGATAAACATTGGTGGCAGGCGACGAGAGCAACCGTTTGGTGAGAGCAAGTTTTTGTGACTTATGGTTTCTACTTTCAATGTTTAGAGTTTGGTTATAGCAGCTTGTTTTACTGAAAGGAAAGAAGCGTAAACAAAGATGGAGAATGATTGGATCGATAAAAAAATTGGGTTTAATGATGGGTGAAATAAAATATTTAGAGTGTACTTATAGTCATTGGTTCGGTTTATCAGTTTGACGGTTCCTTAAAACTAAAATTGATAACTGAACCAAACCACCTCGGTTTTTATTGGTCGGTTTTGGAACCGACTAAAAAATAATCGGTTTTTTCGATTTGGTTTGATTTAGATTTTTAGTTTAATTCCTTTTTTATGATATGCTTACCCCTAGTAGGGGTGAGAATATGTCAGGTTGGTCTACATAGGCCTATAACCTAACCTATTTAAGGTCAGGTCAGACCATACCAATTTAATAAAAAGGTCAGACGTAGGCTTTTTTAAAAGCCTGTCTAATTAAATAGGTCAGACTTAGACTATTAAAAAAGTCTATAAAACCTTATAGGCTAGCCTATATTTTCATATATGTTAACAATAGGCTAAATAGATTGGCATATATATATATATATATATATATATATATATATATATATATATATATATATATATATATATATATATATATATATATATATATATATATATATATATATATATATATGTTCTGGACTGGGCCCGGCTGGCCCAATAGCATTGATAAGGCCCAATCCAAACGGACTTGCTGGGGGTCACGCCGACCAAAGGATCACAGTCGTGCCCGACGTACTCCCTGGGGCTACTTGCTCGACCTCCTACTGCCCAGCTCGACTTCAACTCGAGCACCCCTCCTAGGGCAGACTCAGTCCACTGCACTCTCAACGGGACTCCGAAAAGACCGCGTCTCTGTCCGCCCGCACTTCACACAGAACATCCAGGGAGGGGACCACGTGCAGGTCCCCACTACGCACGTAGAACCTGGCAGTTCCTCCATTGGGCCAAACCTGCCCGGCCCAATGAAGGAACCTTGGCCCAGCGCTGGGGGCTATAAATACCCTCTGTTTCTAGAGGGTCAGGTATTCATCATTCTACCCATACTCTTACTATTGCCTGCTCGTGCTCTTACTCACTTCAGCATCAGAGTGTCTTGCAGGTACCCCCCCCCCCCACCTCGTTCAAAACTTCAGCTCGGAGCCAGCCGTGACGGTCCAAGTCTGATCAGGTCAGATCAGTGGCGCCGTCTGTGGGAAACTAGCTTCCCCGTCTTGCAAACTCAAAGACCAAAGCTCAAATTCAACTACCTGTCATGGTTGATCAAGCTCGCGATGAGCAGAACGTCCGTGTCGCCGACACTAATAACGGCACCGCGGACAAAAACGGACATCTTGACAACGCCGACAATCCCGGCCACAACACCATTCCTGCAACAACCTCCCCCGGAACTTCCTCCTACAGGGACGGAGCTACTGCATCATCCTCCTCGCTTCCACCACCACTCGAGGACGACCCGGCGGCCCTCGCGCACTATAGAGCCGCCCGGTTCCAGGAAGTCCCCATCCCCTCCGGGGCGGATGCCACAACACAAGCGCTGTTCGCAGCAATTAATCAAACGAACTATCTCATCTTCGCCCAAGGAGAGAGACTAAAGGCGCTTGAAGACGAGCGAAGACCCCCGAGGAGGCATCGGAGACCACATACTCCCCCTCCTCGAGTGACTGAAGCTCGTCACCCTTCTCCCCCGCAGAGACATTACAGGGAGACCTCTCGAAGCCCATCTCCCCGGCCAAAACAGAAACGGCCTTATCTGGAAAGGCAGCCCATCAGTCAGGCCGGAGAGCCCAGTCGCGACCCAGCGGTACTGGAAAGAAGGCACTCCGGAGATGGGCGCGTGAAATTCAACAGCCGAGCATCCCGCTCGAGAGAAACTCAGCACGATCTGGACCGTCGTGCCAGACAATATTACAGGTCCCCATCTCTGTCTCCGGAGAGAAGCGACGAGGACGACCCCCGCGGTCCCCTGTCACAGGCTATTATGGAGGCACCCATCCCCCCGGGCATGGAGAAGCCCCCTCACTTGAAGGAGTACGATGGAGTCGTGGACCCGGTCGACCACATAGACGGGTTCGAGGCTATGCTTCATTATCACAATGTCGGGGGCCCCATCAAGTGCCGTCTATTCCCCACGACTCTCAGGAAGGCGGCAATGGACTGGTACAAAGGACTCGCCCCGGGCTCAATCACGTCGTGGCGGAACCTGAGGAACCAGTTCATCAGTTCCTTCACAGCTTCTAGGCGCCATCCGAAGACCGAGGCGGCCCTCGAGGCCATCATCCAAAGACAGGATGAAACCTTGAGGGAATTCATCAACCGCTTCAACCGGGAAGCAATACAGGTCCCCTGCGCGGACCATATGAAAAGATACTTGCTGGAGAGAGGGCTCCTCCCCGGCACGGAATTCAGAAAGGCCGTGGGTATCGAGCCACCTCGGACATTTGATGCCCTCCTCGAAAAGGCCCGAGCATACATGGACTACGAGGAGAGGGAGGCGGCCAACAGAGCCCGAGATACCAGGACTCGTGGCCCCAACAGCAGCTCGCGCCAAGAGGCTCCTCCTCGACGAACCGGGAAGAAAAGAAAGGAAGACAGACCCCGGGAAGTCCGGGAACAAAGAGGACCTTCGGGGAGTTTCACCGAGTACACTCCGCTCACGGCTTCCCGCGAGCGCATTCTGGTGGAGTGTGCCAGCACTGATTTCAAGGACGGCGGTGTCAAACGTCCCCGACCTGCTCCCGCTAAGCCCGGAGCAGACAAAAATAAATATTGTCAGTACCATAGGAGCCATGGTCACCTGACTGAGGATTGCGTCCACCTCAAGGACACCATTGAAACCCTCATCAAGGGAGGGAGGCTCGCGCAGTACCGGCGAAGCGACGCTCCCCGTCGTGACGCCCAAGAAGCCAGGGAGCCAGAAGAAGACGCCCGACCATCTGACGAGTCGGTGCCCATCCAAACTGCCTTCTCCGTGACCAGGCCCGAGGATTTCGACTTCCCCGAGCACCTGCAAGAGCCACTTATAATCTTCCCCTCCGCCCTGGTCATCAACGGCGGCGGGTTCGACTTGACCATCAATTCAGCCAAAAGGAAGCTGGATGAACTGGTCGACGCGGCTCCCCCGCAAACAGTGACGTTCGAAAGGGTGAAGGGCAGGTCAGAGCCCATCACCTTCTACCTGGAAGAACTCCCCGGCGGAGCCCCGAACGCGGTCATCCCCTTACTGATAAGGGCAAGAATGACCAATTTTGATGTACATCGCATCCTGGTCGACGAAGGGAGTTCCATCGACGTCATGTACAGCCAACTGTTCCGGACCCTTCAGCTGGACGACTCACATCTTTCACCATATGTGGGTTCGGACTTACAAGGTTTCAACGGCTCGACCTCCAAACCCTGGGGATATATCGAGCTTCTGGTTACGTTCGGGGAAGGGACGGCCACAAGACAAGTCAAAGTACGCTTCCTTGTCATCGACTGCCCGTCTCTGTACAACTGCATCTTGGGGAGACCGACACTGGCAGAGCTGACGGCGGTACCCTCGATCGTCCACCTGAAGAT